TATCGTAACATTACACGGGATCCTACTGCAAGTTTGAGCGTAAATAGTAAACCACCAGTATTATTAGGATCAGTAGGAATTGCTGCAACAGGAGGTTTTTGACCATAAGTTGCAGGTTCTCTCGACTCATCTCGTGCATTTATAATATAAATTCTGTGACTCTCTGCCAATTTGTCAATCATTTTGTTGTTATATGAATTAACTAATTGTATAGTTGGAAAAATACGAATAGCTTCTCCGTCAGCAAAATCATTAATTAGAGGGACATATGTTCTATTCAATAACATTTCGTATTGTGCAATATTAAGTTGTCCAACTCTTAAATTATTTAATAAATCAACAAAATCTGCATCATTTTGTTGACGCATATTTGCTTTTAATTCACACAAATTAAAATATCGCCATAAATGCGGTTCACTTTGAAAACATACAGGTTGTTTAAAACACCAATTTCCTTTTACAGGTGGTAATTGCATAATGTCTCCAAATAAAAGTATATTAACACCACCATATAACTGATTATTGTTTTTAAATTCTTGAAGGCGAAGGTGAACTGATCGTAATATTTCATATGAAACCATTGATATCTCATCTATAATTAGCCAATTAATATGTCGCCATTTACGTCTTGCATCTTCAAGACGTTGCTCCGATAACTGTCTGTATATTGTAGGTTTTCCTTTTTCTACTGCCAAGAATAATGCACCATGCAAGGTGCGCCCATTAATTAATCTAGCTGCAACACCAGTAAGAGCGGTCACATCAACAAATATTGGTTTTAATAAATGATCGACAGTAGGGGCATAACATCGTTTAATCTGTTGTACTATCATTTTTAGAAGGAATGTTTTCCCACATTCTGCTCCCTCTGTAATAAACAATCTTAATGGTTCAACAATTTGTCCTTGAAATTCTTGTTTAATATGATTAGTAGTAGTATTAAATAAATTGAATTGTTCTACATTCATGCTTCTAACATTTCTTTCGAATTCTTCAGCAGATATAACATGATCAATTTCATTCGGTTCATCGTGCAAATTGAAATTCATATTATTATCGTATCCTTCTACTATACCACGTATACGATTCGTTTCGTTCCATAGGATGTGCATTTACTTCCTCATCATTATGAAATGCAACAATTTGTGTTATAACTTCTTGTAATTCTCGTTCTACAAATTGAAATTGTTCAATATTCTGTCCTCTATGTAATGGTCGTAATAGATGACGTTTAGCATAAAATGCCTGTTCCGCTGACTCGTATCCTTCAAGTAATTCTTCTTCTTTTCTGAAAGGAACATGGG